CATCTCGTCTCTACCACTTCGAGATTAGGCTTGATACTTACTGGGTACACGTTGTTTACGTACTCATACTACACTTGCTGCACTTTTTGTGCAGGAACTGAAGCAAGTACTAGTGGGGGCCTATTGTCTTACACCCACGTTATCCAGGGGCATAGTGGTGAGCTGTTTCTCTGATCCGTTCTGCAGCTACTAGTGTCTCTTTTTGTATTTTTTTTATTCTGTCTATTTTTATTTCAGACAGTATTTGAGGTTTTGTATAATCTACTGGATGCGCATACACTTGTGACACCAGGTCTTGGCACACACATTGTTAGAATTTGGGTTTTATTATTTTCTTGATTTTAAATTTTGTCAATATATGTTTAATTTATTAAGTTGGCTTGCCTAGATGTAGTGTTGGGCGCTATCCACCTATAGGTGAAATTGGGTCGTGACAGTAGTTTATTATATTCTCAACGATATTAATATTTTTGTTATTACTCCCGCTATCTAATTTGATACTTATTCTAGAAAAGAATGAACGCATAAATTATTTATTGCTTTGCTAGTCCCAAACATTAGTAAATTATTTTAAAACCCTAGCTGATTTGTGAGCCTAATTTTAGTAACAACAACCCTAGCTGATTTATGAGCCTAATTTTAGTAGCAACAATCCTAGCTGCTCGCCATAGGTGCTTTCTTCTTTGAATACAAGTATATATGGCTTCAGGGTACTCACAAATTTCATATTTTTCTTGTTCTTCACCTTCTCACCTGTGTCGTTTTCATTCTTTGGTACTCCTAAATTTCATATTTTTCTTGTTTCTTCGAATAGAAAGGTTTTAAGTAGATTCTTTTTAGCAGTATCATGAATGATTTTTTTGATGTTCCCTCTTTTAGTAATTATTGCGCTTTCTGTTCCTTTTCATGTCAAATTTTTAAATGTACGGATACCCAAGTTGCAATAGTAAGTCATGTTGCAAGATAAGATCTTGTCTTCTTAGATTCTTTAGATGTTCTTCAATTTTGGTATGTGTAGATACCTTTTTTTTCATTGCAAATTGACATGGTCAATGGTATAGCTTTTTTTGTTGCTCTGATTTCCTTCAGTTATGTGCGATTTGATTGATTTTAAGCTCTCCATGTCAACTATTATTGGTTGGAAAAAATATTCGAGAGTTTACTGGTATGGTGGCTACATTCAAGCTTAGAACCTGTTCCATTTTCATATTGTGTAATATCTTGTTCTTTTGTGATTGTTCTGTAAAACATATGTATCTATCAGTAGGCAGCTTAAGATTTGTTGCGAGAAGATTAACATTTGTTCATGTGAATAAAAAGGACATTGGATAGGAGTTAGCGTTGTGTTCGAGTAATTTGGTAAATTTTATATATATTATGAATTCTGATTTGGAGTATACATGATCTGTGTAATCCCAAAGTTTGCACGTTTCAGCTAGCAGAAACTAGTGCCACTTAGACAAATAATTTCAGATAACTACTTTAAACATAGGAAATACGTTTACAAGCTCAATTTGCTCTTGTATTTCCTGGCTACTATTGCGATGCGAACATTAGAACTTTCAAATCTCATTTTCTTCGGAATGAACTCTTGGTATAAAGTTGCAGTTTGACAAAAAGTGCAGCATTTAATTTAGAAATTGAATTTTGCATCTGTTCCACTTAAGGAAAAATTCAACTGCAATTATATGGTAGTTTAGAACTCCAGTAGTTTGTAAATAGGGTGAAATTTGTCCATTAATCCATTGATGTGCTGAACTTTGAGTTGCTTGAACAGTGTACTTGGAGCTCCAAAATAAAATTTTGGTTAAGCAGAAACTTTTCAGGTCTTATGTAGTTGTGTTATCAGCCAATTGGCTTTTATAATTCATACAAGTCCATCTTTCTTATTCGTTATACTATGTGATTGATTATGAGCATGTATTTCACTTTACTTTTAGTCACTTGACGAGAGAAAAAATGTGATACTATTTTTAGTCAATTGGTAGTAAACAACCCTGGACTGAATACTCAAGATATACTAAGGTGTGTTGGATCCAACCTTCCTTTATCTGTTGATGCAAGTAGCACGGTTGTGAGAGGCCAAAATCATCCATATTCTTCTGGCTGAACTCATGCTACGAGTCTTGAAAAGGTATTTAACTTACTAAACATGCTTTTCTAAAATATTTGATTTTGCAATATTGAAACAATTTAAAGTGTACTTATTTCTCGATTTTCCTTAGTCTAAGGTTGCCTTGCCCAAAGAACATGTCTTCTTCATGGCATTACATTTTGGCCTATGAAGATATTCGCAATTTTTTGTCTCCGCACTTGCAAAATGTGATGAGCATCTCTTACTATGTTGTGAGCTCTTTTGAAGATATTTTGTTGGTGATTATTACATTGATAATAAATTTCTTTTATAGATAAAGCAAGGGATGCTCTAGCATTAGGCTGAGTCTTTCTTATTTCCAACTTTTACTATAGATTTGACAAATATAAATATTACTTTCTTCCAACATAATAGATTCAATTTGGGTAAAATATGTCTGAACCATAAGAGTGACAACACCTAAATAATGCACCCTCTTTATCGCCTAGTTTTTACTTTGGATTTCTGAAAGAGTTTAACTGAATTTATACTCGTTACTCGTCTAGGGTGATTCTTTCTCACTTTTCTCACAATTTGTTTGTTAATTTCAATTGAAGATGTTGAAGTGTTAGTAATGTTGTTGACTGCATTAACTTCATACATAGTTAAAGGAGCTTGTAATCAAAGTTACTTGTAATCCAGCACCTACTTGTTGCTGTAATGAAATATCTTGACCAAAAAAAGGTTGTTGTACTTTTTACATTATAGTTTATGTCAGATTTTTGTTAGTTCTTAGTAAGACGAATGTTGCTTTAACCAGTGTATACTATATATTTGTTTCTTTGTAATTTCTAATTTCATCATAAATGTGGGAAAATGCAGGTGATCCAATTGGAAATGTGGCCACAAGTCCAATTTAATCTATTGAAGTGAATGATGAAGACTTTTGGAACAATTGTGATATTTATTATTCATCTATATGAATACATTTGGTTTTTTATAGTTTGTTGCTAGTTCACATCTTGAAACATAACTTTATTAATATGTGTAGTACACGAAATATATTTCTTTTTTGAAGTTTATTGGAATTATTTTTTTTGTTATCTATTGTCTAATTTAATGCTTGAGAGCATAATGTATATACTTGAAATAAATGTGATTACAACATTTATGTAAAAAGAAATAATTTTTCAGTTACAAAATTGTGGCTCGTATAAATATTACAAAAATAATTGTATAACGTAGTCGAGATTTGCCACAGTTCAAAAGTGTGGCCTAATAGGTATCAAAGTCCACACTTCGTAGGTGTAGTTTTAGCAAATGAAAAATGTTGCCATATCAAATAATACAAGCGTGGGTTTTGTATCTTATTGGCAACGCTGCGGCCAAAAAGCGTGGCCTTAGGGAATAGGTTACGGTACTTTAGGCCATCCCACAGAAAGCGTTGCCTATAGTCTAAAAGTGTGGCTTTTGATTAAATGCCACACTTTCGGGAGTTTAGTCCACAATTGTTTTGGGTGGCTACAGGCATAAAATGTTATAGTGTGATAATCAAGAAATTCAATATTCTCTCAGAAATAAGAAAGGAATTAGAATAAAAAATGACAAAATAATCAATAAAAAACACAAGAAAGTAATTATATTCTAATAATAATCAGAACATGTCTGTACAAATGACATTTCTTTCCCTTATATAGAGGTCTTCAAGTACAACGTCTTTTCCCTTTTAAGACCGAGTCATTATGAGCATTAATGAAACGTTATAATTGATAATCGTAACTGTTCGTGAAGATTCTGTAACGTTTGTAATCATCCACGCTCATTAATTGAAGATCCATGAATCTGCCCTTTTTACTGTCTTGCTTTATTCCACCGGTGCCTCTTCATATAACTTAAAGAGACTCGAGCAACTATTTCTTTTCACCTCGTGGGTGATTTGTTCGTATCTGCTGCGACTCGTGTCTCTTTTAGTGCTCCTCTCCAGCTATCGCTTTTCTAGTGATCCACGTGCCTTGCCATGTCAACCACATAATTAACTCCACGTGTAACATTTATTTTTACCAATACAAATCGAAAATAGAATAAAATCGAAGAGTGGAGTAAAATCATTTTTAGAAGGAACAGGTTTAGCCGTAAGTACGAAACATCTCAATTAAGATGGATAAATCTTTCATGGAAGTCATAGTTAGACGCTACACTGTGTATATTGTAGAGTCATGTGTCTCTTCAAAGTTTGTATTCATAAAATGATGAATTTTCAAAACTTCTGTACTCTTTTTCAACGTTGTCGAAGTAAAAATTAGAACTTTACGTTGTTTAGTTATAGCCGGAATGAATAGTCACGTATCCAAGTTATAAATGAAATCTTAATTGTATGGACAAGTGAGGTTCAATGACTATTAACTTGTAAGAGATTGATCGTCTTTATAAATAGAGGCAAATATTCCGTCGTTTTTTATGTTTTTATAGTCGTAACATATGACTAAGGTTGTTATTATTTGATATCTTTATCTCTTCCATGTATGCTTGATTGGTAAATTGTATCACCTCTAACATTAGCTAACTAGCTCGTTGTAGAATCCTAGCCACATTGGTATCTGCTTACCCGAAAAACGGATAATAATTAAATTTATACGTGGCTCTAAGGATACGTGATATAACTTGGCACAAACTGAGAAAACATATAAATTGATATTGAAATTGACTGCAGAAAGAAATAAATACAAACCAAACGAATCGTATAGCTTTGGCCCTCGAGTCAGGTCACCCTCGAACCAAGTGAAGATTCCGCTAGTAAATAAAAAGAGTAACAAAATATTGAAAGCTGAAAGAAGGCACTGTATTGCTTAGTATTGTGTCAATGTCCTCATTTACAAATGATAAGACCCCTTTATATAGTAGGGGTATCATACTCTTGATATAATTCTAAATATAGTAAGGAATCTCATGATAGGTTAATTAATTGGTTTCTCCTTGATATGCGCCTGGATTTCCACCATGATTCTTGCGCCTGTAATATCAAACCATAATGCGAGGTTTGAGTGCCAAGCTCGTGACCTTGATCGGTCTCGATCTTGGACGATCTCGATTTTAAACGGTCTCTAGGTCACGAGCTTGGCACTCAAACCTCGCATTATGGTTTGATATTACACGAGTTCGAACCCTGGCCTATTATGTTCCAGTCTCGATTAGTCATACGAAAGGCAAGCTCGATTTTAAACGTATACAGATAGTCCCCTCGTTTCTCGGAAAGGAGATGACGAGAAACAATATGAATTTTTGAAATCCGACTCGATGGGTAATGACGTCACCGACAAGCCCGTTTATAACGTATGTGACGAAACGTCCCGTCGGTTAGTTACCAAGGTATTAAATGCTTGTCAGTCGCTTGCCGGCCATTACCTATTCCGAACCGTCACCAGCAACCTATAAGAATTCAAGTTTTTACACTCAAAGCTCTTTTTTACTTTTGCTTCTTCTTCAGAAAATCACTTTGCTTCACAATTTTCACACCTAAATTTCTAGAACTCTAATCAAACCGCGGACTATCCTAGTTCTCTTTTCCCTTGTTCATCAATGTCGAAAACTTCCAAAACTGTGCCGCAAAAGAAAACTACTTTTTCATCATGATCCGTCGGTGGTGAGGCTGCGGCGGAGTCCCACCCTGAGGAATTCGTTCCGGTAGGGTGCCCAACTATCACTGATTTTAAGGTCGAAAAGGTCTCCTTGGTACCGGGTCGATGTGAGCCGGTCTCGAGGTACATGTGCATAATCACCGAAAAAATCCTCGATAAAGTTAAAGAGGAATGCAACTGGGAAAAAAAGCATGCAGTAGTCCCATTGCCTGAGGAATCGATTACTACCTACGTGGAGAAGTTTCTAAGTGTTTACATGTACTCCTTCACGTTGGGTCCTTTAGACCCTGTCATCGTCACCTTCTGCAAGAGATACGGCGTGACCCTTGGCCAGATCCATCCTTCTTTTTGGAGAATAGTGATTCTCCTCCAATTTTTCACAAGCAAAATCGAGGGATGTCTTTTCACCCTCGATCACCTTATGCGCCTTTACAGTCCCCAACTCTATTGGGGAGAGCTGATCAAGCTTGCTCGCCGGGCCAACAAAGCCCCGTTCTCGAGTATAGACGAGACTCGTGACCGAGGTTGGATGGGCCGATTTGTCCGAATAAGGACTTCGGACCTGATCCATGTTGAAGACATGCTGTTTCCTGAGAGATGGAACATGAATCGTAAGTAGTATTTCGCCTTGAATGTTCAATTTTATTGTTTTACTTCTTATTTTCTTTCATCATCTATGTTTTTGGTGTTGTAGTTGTGGCCCAGATGCCGGACCCGATTTCGGAACTCAAGCAATAGGTTGAGGGCATGGTGTCGCAAAAACCATACTCCGAGCGTGCTTGGATGGAGTTATCAAAGGGTCGATGGGAGGCCCGCAATCATGGTAAGTTTCTCTCTTAGAACGGTTATCGTTCGGCTTCCTCTCTTGATTACTCTCTTTTTTTCCTTTGTAAGCCTCGGGAAGGATGTTACAATGAGGCCCCCATCAGATGAAGAAGAAGTCCTTCTACCTACTCTGAAGCAGGCCAAAGAGAAGAAGAGAAAAGGGGGTTCGAGTTCCCCGGGATCGAAAAAGAAAAAACCGGCAAGGAAGTTTCGCAAGCCCAAGTGGGACACCGGTGCTATTAATCCACCGATTAAAGCACGAGTCCTAAGAAGAAGAAGATAAAGATAATTTCAAATTAGTGGCCCGTGTGCGGGCTGGTGCTTCGATACAAAAGTCATATGAACTGGCAGAGGTTGATGAGGGAGTCTTGGCCGAAGTTCCTGAACCAGGAAAGGTTGAGGCCATTCCATCCCAAACTGAGATGGTCGAGAGAGAGACCGGTGGTGAGGCTTCCAGGGCAGCGGAAGATGTCTCGAGGGACGAGCTAGGAGCGATCTATATTTCCGGATCCCCTCAGATTTCAGACGCTATGATTCATGAGGCCAATATGTTGGAAGGTCGCTCTTATGAAGGTATTCAGGGGGCGACCGATATCCATAGCTTCTTGGATGGGTTTGAGTCTGCTGCCTCGGAGGATGTCACCGGGTTTGGTAGTTTACCGGTACTGAAGAAAGTATCGTCATCGGACACTATCGGGTCTTCATCGAGCGCAAACCTGGTGGACCGATTCCCGGCCCCAAGTGTTAACCCCGGCCGCAGGCGGAATATAGTGCTTTCTATCCCAGAGGATGCCCGGGTTTTCTCTCCCCCCATGGGGATTGCTAGCTACCTTAGATCCATGGTGACCGAGGAAGACCAAGCCATGATGAACGCGGTGAGAGTCGCTTGCCTTTTTAATGAGGCCCAACATGATCTGAATCGGGTAACTTTGAGGGTCTCTCCATTGTTTCTTTTAAACTTGGAGTTATAGATAATTCTAACATCTTCTTCCTTGTTTGCAGGCTTCGGTGTTGCATCACGAGGCTTTCCTCTGAATCCGGGAGGAGCACGAGGTTGAGGTTCGGGACCTCACTGAGAAAAGTGACACCTACAAGCTTCTCAGTGAGAAGCTTCAGGACGATTTAGTAACGGCTCGGGATGAGCATTCTGAGATGGCCGAGCAAGTATTCCGAGTGCTTCATGATAGTGAAGACGAATTAGAGATAACTACTAACGATCTGATTCTGCAGGTTTGGCAGAGGCTCGAACAAATCGGACGGCTCCAGACGCATGTGGATGCGATACAGGCCGAAGCGGAAGAATTCAAAAATAATATGGATATCTTAGCCTCGAAAAGAAAACCGTCCAAGCGCAATTGGAGTCGGCCGAGACCCAGCTCCAAGATGCAAAAGAGAAGACCTCGGTGTAGGTCGAGAAGATCAAGGAGCTTCAGTCTCAGCTGGATTTGGCCGTTTCTGATAAGGCAAACTTGGCCAACGAAATCGAAGTGGCCAGATCTGAGGTGGCCGTGACCAGATCTGAGGTGACCGTGGCCAACACAAAAG